TGACCATTAGGTTTATTCCACGCGTTCAAACTATGTAAATTTGAAACAGATGTGTGCTAATAATTAATAGTAAAAATAAATGGCTGGTTTTAGAAAGGAATTTATTATAAAAAACTGACTTTTTTCTTTTTGTTGTATTTATTAACTCCAATCCACCAGCAGATAAAGAACTATACTTTTTGTTACAAGACACAAGATTCATACTTATCAGGTTTTATATCATATATATTTTACAATCATGGTCAATCCAAGAGTTGTATTCCAACTCTTTCCCACAGAACTCCAAATCTATAATCCTTCCACATTAGCGCATGGGCAGTCAACAACTTTGGGATCCATATTCATATATACATACCACAGCGATTGAAAGGGTTCAATGAAAATTCCTGTCAATTTTTGCTTACTTTTAAAGATTCCTTGTTTTCCACATTGAAAACCCAGCCCCATAAAGTTTTAAATTTACCCAGTCTAGCTGTTTATAGGAGATCTGTGAACTTATCATTTCTATCTAATTTAATCTACTGTCCTGCACTTCTTTTCCATATCAATTTTGAAGTTTTGTCCCGTTATATTAAATTTACTTATCCCTTTGTTATTCCATTTTCCACTTCTAATTATAGACTAAACTCCCCACTTTACTGTCTTATGGTCTTGTTAATGAGGACTCCGCTTTTAACTATCCACAAACTATTTTTCAGCTGGGTTTTTTTATTTATTTATTTAATATTTGTATTACTGTTATTATTATTATTCTAATTAAATAAATGTAATTTTTTTTTTTTATTATCATATTTACATAAATGACATGATGTGTTTTTGGGCCTCGGCCTGTACTGTTATAAAATAAAATAAAATAACGATTAGGTTTTTGAACATCTGTAAAAAAAGAAAGCAGTAGGTATCTGATAACTCAATGCAGTATTCAAATATTTCATCTAGACTGTTGGTTTTAATTAGTAGTTTATTCAATTATTTCTCTTAAAAATTATAGAAACTATAATTTATAAATAAATCTGAATGAATTTTTTTTTTAAATTGACCCACATTATTTTATTTGAAGTAATCTTTAGTTTAGTTTCATTAACTAAACTTTTCCTTTCAATAAAAACCCCTGCATCAGATTCAAAAATAAAATAAATTACTATTAATTAATCAAATATATCATATTCATACAGGTATTATATTGTGCATATATTAATACTTGTTTCCTTGAGTCATCTGAACTTAACTTTACATTTTTAGCATGAATTACTAAAATATTTCAAATACTCTTTAAAAAGTACCTACCATTTCATGTCTTCGCCTATAATCGCAGTTTTCCAGTTATTGGCTAATATTAACATTATTCATAGTAATGGAGAACTACGACATAAGACTGTGTGTGAGGGATACCTATACGTACACCGTGATGAATGACGATGCCTATCTATTTTGTCATGCGTTGGTGTACTTGCGGCACTTAATCATTAGACACGTTGTTACACAGGTAACAAAAAAAGTTCAAAAGTATCTAATGGAACGTCTTAGCCTTGGTTATATCTTGTGATTCTTCTAGGCTTTGCTTTCATGAGGTTTGTGCGATTTTACAAAAGACTACTTCATAGAAGCAACGCCGCCCCTGCCTAGGCCCAATTCTATAACACTGACACCATGGTGGATAGTTGCAAAACGTATCGTTAAGTAATTACTACAATACTTGGATATAGATAGGTAGGTAGGTAGGTAGGTATGTATGCTAGCTAATGTAACGTGAAATGCTCGTCGTGTAATAAACCTTGAACAATTTTTTTTTTTTTCCAAACCGCAACGACTTGCAGTATTATAAGTTATAACAGTGAGTAATACTTGTAAAGAAAAAATAATAAATTGGCCATAGGTACGCGGTTATTTATTTATTTATTTTTTTTTTTTTCGAAACTGGGCGACGCGACGAAACTGAAAAACAATAATAATCAACATTTTGTCGAATTATTTCATTATTGATGTTATCAATTATTCCAATCTTGTGTATTATTATTGTTGCCGATAGCTGCTCCGGAATGTTTCATAATAATATATAGTGGTAGGTATACGACGATGTTCAAAACATTCGAAACAGCGCAGCGACAACAACCGAGTACAACGACTTACTGCGAAACGTCCGTCGTCTGGGCAAATATAAATATTACAGTATTTGTTATTCCTAGTGTGTCGGAGACGACTCGTTGAAAAAAAAAATCCGACATTACTACGACATGGTATAGTCGCCGAAATGTAAAATAATAATAATAATAATAACAAAAACACGAAATATCGCGGCGGACCGTCGGGACGTTTTGTTTTCCCTGGTGTAATATTCGACTGAAACCTATTTTGGCCGGGCATTAAGTGTTTTCACTTTTACATAAATACAAACAAAGAACCGATATATTTTGTCGCTGTTGTATCGCCGGACAATGGTAAATAGTAACTTATAGATAGATAACGGACACGACGATAATAAAATAGACGTCCCAGGATAACGGGGACGGGTGCAGCCACTGTTGTAGGTAATTGAATTGAAACTGTTGGCAGCGACTAACCATTGGTAATGAAAAAACGATTCTGAGCGGAGTACGGTTGATAGTGACGCTTTATCAATAGTACACAATCGTGTCATATCACGGTAAAATAACTAAATAGACGTTATATATTATCTTAAATAATAATTGTTTAATCGTTTAATGTACCGATTTTCCTTATTGTTCACATTTGCCGGGTAAACGTGCTACGTAACAACACGTTTCCTACCCCAGAGGAAAAAAATTGCACGTTTTACATACAAATAAAAATATTACGCTACTAAGCAGGCTTACTATGCTTGGCAGTATTATAGTGTTGTATTATCATGTTACGCATTTTACAAGGACGAACGACCAGATTGGTCTTGCACTATGCCAGACGGTTTTTGGTCTTTAGTAGTGGTGTATGCCGGGCGGTTTGGATGAAGATGTCATGTTATTATAATACATTGGGTACTCTTTATTACTTTGTAATGAAAAACCGAAAACGTCCGGATATTATATTGTCATTTACCGTTACACTGCGGTATCCACGACCACAGTTTCGGTTACACTCGTAGTGATGATAACGGTAGCCGATAAAAATTGCGAGTTTCTCATCGGTTTACAAACTTTTAAAAATTGTAATTTTGCGAGTAACAAGTATCCATATTATTCTGGTTTACTATCTAACAGGGGTGCTTTTTCCAGGCACGCAGCCAAGCGTGGGAGTCTGTTGGGCGTGTGGACCGCCCGTGAAATTTAAGCTTCTCAATTAAAAATTATACTATCGGTGAAATAGTCTAATTTTGGTCAATTTTATGTCCGGACTGGCGGTCGGTGAATTGATTTCCTAGACTTAATTTATGTATTAGTTGATTCCTGGGTTTCTGTTAGGTATGTAAGAGTTGACTCCTCTATTGTCGTTTATCAGTAACATCCTCTTTTCAGTTTTTTCATATTTTCAATCATGTAAGGTTCACTTTACACCTTTTTTTTTTTTTTTTTTTTTTTTTTTTTAGGTAGGTATTAGGTTCACAGTCATAGAATTGCATTTTAGTTTGCACTAGGGTTACAATTTAAAACACATTGTTTGCATCACAACTATTTGGGATCCTCGTCATAAACTTCCACACGAGTCGGCCCCTCACAATTGGTTGACCCTTTTTGTTTTACACAATTCTATTGTCTAACAATCCAAGACCATTTACACGTACCTACATATAAAATCTGTTCATTTAAGTGAAAAGTAAGATTTTAAATTTTACTTACTTCATGAATACAAGACAGAAAGTATGAAATAAAAAAGAAAAAGTTACACTACTCACGGCTAGGTCAAAAATGAGAAAATAGGATATAGAGTAGGTAATTTAGTTAATATACTATATTAAGACCTAGAGGATGAACTGCTGAAAATTTCAACTAGTGCATTAAATGTAAAAATTAATTTAAGGTAAGTACCTAATTTTATCTGATCAAGAAGATAACCAATGGTCAAAATTGTGTAATGCTTTTATTTTATTTGAATATAATTATTTTTATTTGTAGATACCTTTCATTAACATAACCTAACATCAGTTATCACTTACCTATTGTAACATTAGTAATATATGTCTTATTCCTATAGTCTATAGCAGGGGTCGGCAACATTTTTTGACGGAAGAGCCAAAAGTTACAATGTACAAAATTTTAAAGAGCCACTAAAAATTTTCTTAAGTATTTAAGTATAATTTTATTTTTAAATTTTAATAGACATAATAATATAATAAATTTATGATAAAAAAAAAAAAAAAAATTTTTAATAATAGGGGAATACATTAATGGGAGCATTGGCTTTGCATGTCTTGGCATGACGGCGTATGACCAATTAGTTGTAGATAGCGTTGCGATTATATTAGACTCTATAATAAACATTTTACAACTATAGACTGTACTCCATGCGAGCACTGTCAAATTATTTTTGTGATGTATTATTTCATATTTCCAAAAGCAACAAAAATAATATACTTTTTTTTTTATATTATAAAATATTGTTTTTGAACTAAAATATTACTTTTTGTGTGTGCAGCTGGAGAGCCGCAACTTTAGACCGAAAGAGCCGCAGGTTGCCGACCCCTGGTCTATAGAGATACAGACATTATAGTACTTCTAATTTCTCTTTGGTTTAACCACTAGCCATAGAGGATTTGTGAATATTACTACACCAAATGGCACACACATTATTAAATTATTATTGTGTTTTGGACTTGTTAATTATCGTATACTAAAAGCATCTTGCACTTTTTTCAATCTACTAGTAGATATTTTATCTATGTACATACCTACCTATACACTTTCTGTGTATAGGTAATCTGTGTATACGAAATCTTGAATATAAGAGATTAAAAGATTATAAATCCAAGACATAAAATCAAACAATGTTTTATAAATTTTATATACATAAAAAAAAAAACCACCAAAACAATTATTTTGATTAAATATCGTATTTATTGAATACTTATTAGAAATGAACAAAACCATTTGAACATATGGCGAACATCCAATAATTAAAACTAGTGACCAAGAATCAGAACTTAGAGGAGGGAAACTTAATAATACATTTCCAATAACATCTATTATTCTGACAGGCAGCCTGAAAAAATTATTAAGATGATGAGCGAATAAAAGGGTACGTAGGGTATTATTTAAAATGAAACGGTATTATATAATTTCATAAATTTTCTGATAAATGAAGTTAATAATCTGTTTCTTGAAATTGTTTTACATTCTTTAAAATTATACTCAATTTATGTGACTCAAATAAATGGAATATGATTTCAAAAAATAAGGGTTTCAGGATAGTTTAATAGCTTCATAAGATGAAATGACACCAGATTCTTTAACACATTATCACTATAACATTTTAACTCACTCTTTAAATCTCTGAGCATCTTAATAATTTTTCCAGGAGCCTGTCAGAATAAAAAATGTCAGCAAAGGCATTATTAAGTTTCCGACCCCCAAGTTTTGATTCTTGATCCATAAATGAATCTGGTTTTACATTTTTTTTTTTTCAATTTAACATGAACATCATGATAAGTTTTCTTTTGGGTGTATACATTTTTTGATATTTTCTTCTCGGTGAAATTTTCAATGAGTTTGAAAATCCAATTATATATCCACGTATCTTAATTGATTCCACATAGCATACTCCTTTTTCCTCGATTTCAGAAACATCCTGAAGAATAGTCATTTAATTTATTCTGAAATTTAAAACAAAAATAGTATTTATTTTCATATGTTAATAAAAAATAAAAAATAAATGTGTTATTTTACAATAATATATTTAAGAAAATGATTCATTAATATTATAAAGAACATAATTCAGTAAACAAAAATAAATGGTTGGTGTTATGGTCAATGATGGATAGGCTGACAAAACTACTTTGAAATGAAATAATAAGACAAATACCTATGCTAATTACAACACTACAGCTGACTTAGCTTTGTTATACATAAATCAGCAATTATATAACAGTAGTACAGACAATAAATACTAATGTTTATAATAGATTTAATACCATTTTATATTAGTTTATACATTATATACACTTAGTATTTTTAATAATTCAATTCTTAGTCCATAATATATATATATATAAACAGTACGCAAAAAACAATTTAAAAACCTCTTATCTATATTTTTTTTTTTTTTTTTAAATATCTGTTTATTATTAATTTTCTTTTTCTCTTAAATTCATTGGGTGTACCTATACTCTTTTATTTGTTAATAATGTGATCTACTGACAGATTAAAAGTTAAATCGGAATGGACTACAAAAGGGTATATTGTATACGAACGCACCAAAATTATCCTAATACTACAATGTTTCCCTTAAGTCAATTAAAAACTTCTCAAATGATCAGCAATATATAGAAATAATGATCAGAAATATAAGCAATAAAAAATAGTTAAATATGCCTTGTATATGCATTGAAGGTACAAGAGTACAAAAAAAAAAATGTTAATTACTAACAATTAATTTGTAAAATAATAAATAGTTTCCTAGATAGAATGCAATTATGTCGGGTTAATTTTTAAAGTTTGTAAAATTACATTTTTAGTAATGAAAAATAGGTGTTAGGTAAATTTTCATAAAACTAAGTGAATTATATTCCTGTTGTATATAATAGGTAATTTGTTTGTCAATTATTCGTCAAACATTTAGATTAAAAAAAAAATATATATTTTAAAAAAGTATACATTTAAATGAAACAGCTTTAACGTATTTGAATCTGATCAATAATTAATTATTGTATATCCAATCATTTTTCCTCAAATATCTTTTTCTTTTTCAACAATTTGGCAGGATTTTCTTCATCCATTACTTCGTACTGTAATGTACGTTTCAGACTGAATATTTTTTAAAATATCAAGTTGTGAATATTTAGATGACTAGTAATTAAAGATTATTTTAATTTAGAGGGAAACTTGCATCTGTTGTAATGTAAGTTTTCAATATGTATTCTATAATACATATAAATAAAAAAAATGTTCGGGGACGCAATTCACCAAACCCGAAAAAATATAATAAAATTTAACAAAAACAAAACCTTCACTTCAGTATTGTTATTTTAATTAGAAACCTGGTAACTAGTGTAGAATATAATTTTATTATACACTAAACTAGTGTAATAAACCCAATTAAACTGTATAATTAGAAGCATGTCGAGACCAATACCTACATCAATAATACCCAATTGTCGCAGGGGTTGACACGCGCTATGTACCTATTTTTTTTTCCTTATGATTCTATTAAATAAACCTTCAGGAATCACGTAGCGTCCGATTGATCGATATATATACGGGTCCTGTTAGACATCTAAGACAGAACGGTTACAGATCCCCGATCGTCATCACCGTCTCATGTTAAGAGCGGTCCATATTCAGGCCCTTGCAGATGAACCTCTGGTACATTTTCTATTTTTTTAAATCATAAGAGTTGTAAAATAAAGTAATTAGTTATATGAATTCCTAAACTGTTTTTACTATCCATCTCAATCCTCTACCACCAGCAGACATCGACGGAGTTCCGTCATTAAATAAAACGTACGAGCACAGAGCGTCAGTCCTGAGCTCACTACACTAGTAAATAATAAACGCACCTAGGCATATATCATATAATATATCTAGAACTGTAATCTTGACAATTTTCAAAGATTTAAATTGTTCAGTCTTATGTTGTTATGTCAGTATTTAATCAAGGTTAATAAATAATAGTGAGTTAGTATTTATTTTTTAATTTCACATATCAAATATATATTACATAATATATAACTAAAGTAAAACTTCCATATAATGGTTACCATATAAAGGCACTGGAAATAATGGTCACTATTTAAAGGTGTCCGATAAAAAGGCATAACACTTGACAGGACCAAACAAAATTACTGTTACATAGAGATGACCATTAACGGAAGTTTTATTTTGTATATACCTAGGTACTGCAAGAATACAAATTGTATAAAACGACCCTTTAAATGGTTTAATTGTATTCTAATTATTACCTATTATTTTTAAAATTAAATTATAAATTATATTGAATAGTTTTTTTTTTTTTTTTAAATATTATAAGTTAATTTAAATTGGACATAAATTCAAATTCAGAGTTTTAGAAGTTCAAGTGCATTAAATGACAATATTTTTGCATATCTATCAGGATTTTTCTTAACATGTAAGGATTATTCTGTAGCAATAACAATTTCGGTTTTTCAAATGTGAACCTACATGCTTTAATTTTGATTGTCTATCAGATGATCTTTCTGAAAATACCAACACAGATTTTAATCAAAATGTATACAAAAAGGTTTCTGCTTTAAATACAAAGGATAATAATTTTTTTTGAAGATTGGATATTAATGTTTTATGGTTATAGATAATTTCTTATTTTGAATTGTGCAGTTATAATCCTTAGTATTTAAAGCAGAATAACTCAAAAACTTTTAATTTAAATTTTGATTAAAATATAGGTACGTTAACATTTTCAGAAAGACCATCCGATGGACAATTTTCATTAAAACAATATGTAGTTTCTCATTTTAAATCGTCACAGGTTATTCTTCAAGTACTTTAAAAATTCCAAATGTGAGAATTTGAATTTATGCATAATTTAACCATTAAAACAGGACGAGCACGCTGAAATATTAACCAAACGACAATAAACTTTTAGGATATTTTATTTTATTTTACCAGACAAGACGGACGGTTTTCCCGCAGCAGATTTTGAAATTGTCAACTTATGGATCATTTTCCGAATATTCCCGGACATTTCGTCAAATGAAAAAAAACTGCAGAACACGTGGATGTACTGACGGATGGTGGAGACGGCGATCGAACCGAAGACCGACAAACTTTCGAGGGACGAAACGAACGACCGAACGTCCAAGTTACAGCGATTGTTGTTAATCGACTGCGGACACCGAAAAAACAGAGAAAAACGAAACCGCGGATCGGATCGGACGGTAACCCACGTGGGAACCACAACCCGACGGTTCGTCCGCCGGACCTCGTGGTCCTATCGAATTTTATCCGGTCGAATCGGAAAAAAGGGACGGCGGAAAATCGGAATACCCTCCGGAATATCGTACTGATCGACGCGACCGTTCGTATCTAAGAAAATAGTGCGGAAAATCAGACGGCCGGACCGGTCTGCGGCACGATCGGTCGACCGCACTGCCCGATCCCGTCAACGCAATTTCCGACTGTAAATTAAATACCTACCTATAAGTCATAGTGGTGCCTAGTTACATTATAATCTACCAAAATTTTCACAATATTAATTACTCCGGGTACTTAATCTATACTATAAAAACACTTAGTTATAATCGCGTTAGGCAAGTGGGTATGTAGGTAGGTAGGTACTTGATGTATAATTAATATACTCACGTTGAATTGACTTCCACGGTGAAATATGTCTGGACTTTAATTATTTTTCGTTGAGTACCACGTTTTCGTTATTAAACAAATTATCGGACGGCAAAGGTTTTAACCGGTTAGCAGTAATATGTACAAAAAAAAAAACGAAACATGTGAAGTAAATGAAATACAAATGTACGAACGTACACGAGTACAACGGCGGTAGAGCGCCAAGCAAATGGCCGAATATTCTAGAAGAAATTCGAACTTTAATAAAATTGATATCTGTAAACCTCGGAACGAGACTACAAACATAAATCACGATTTAATTCATGGAATAAATTACCGCGGTTATATGTAGAAACCGGTTATATGTAGAAACCGTGGTAATAACCAAACGTAATTAACGGTATAATGCTAAAGAGTCTATGTCATTTGGTCTCGAGAAAAAAGTGGGAAATTAATCATTTTATGATAAACTTAATAAGAATATCAAGGTTTGCAGATTATAATCTGTATACCTTTAACTATAAATACCACAAATATAGACAAAATTAAATGTTATGATTTTATCAATGTTTTTGCTTTCCATTGAAGATTAAACTCATTAGCCATTTATAATTGAGCGCTGCGCTCACACGCGACTAATGCCGTATTTTTTATTTTTGGTTTATTTAATAGTTTTATTATTACGCACTTTTATAATGAAAACGGATATAGTGACACAAAATGTCATTGGATGGATTGAAGAATCAGAAGATTTTGATTGTTTATATGATTCATATGATTCAGCCGATGGTCCTGATTATGTTCCGCCTGATATACAAGAACAATGTGAAAGTTTGATTTTTCTGGTACAGAATTTGCCGTAAATGAAACATTGAATACAAATAGGCGTAATAGACCAAGTACATCTCGTAGATCTCGTTCTAGAAGTCCTTTGTCAGATACAGTTTCCTCACCCACCTATTAATATAAGGATAATATTACGAAGTGGAATATTGACGGACCCCCTTTGAATGTACGTACGCGCTCACATAATATAATTTTACATTTGCCTGGGGTAAAGCGATGTGCGAAAAACGCTAAGTCTATAGTTGATTGTTGGAGTTTGTGTTTTCCTGATACGGTCATAGAAGAAATTGTAAATTGTACAAATATATATTTAGCTAAAATCAAAATAAATTACCAAAGAGAAAATGACATACTCAACACTAATAGTATTGAGATGAAAGCACTCTTTGGTCTTCTATACCTAGTGGGTTATCTTCGAAGTAATCATTTGAATCTAAAAGACCTATGGTCAAATGATGGCTTCGCTCCAGAATATGTTCGTGCAGCTATGCCTGAAAACGTTTTTTATTTGTTATTGCGTGCGCTTAGGTTTGATTATTATCACTAGAGAAAAGAAACGTTATCAAAAGATAAACTGGTTGCAATTCGTTCCAAATTCGATGGTTTTGTAAAACGGTGACAGGACTGCTATACTATAGGAAAAAATCCTACAATAGATGGAATGCTAGAAGAATTTTAGAGGGAAATGTAATTTTAGACAATATATTCCCAATAAACCTAACAAGTATGGGATCAAGATCCAAGATTTAGTCGACTCAAAGACATTTTACACTTCAAATATGAAATTATATGTTGGAACATAACCAGATGGCCCTTCAAAATTGGCAAAATGGGTATAAAGAGCGTCTCGCTCACATACGTCCAACGGTGTTATAAAAACCATTGCAACCATAGACGGGATAACATACATTTTCTTATTTTCAACTGTTGGAGCATCATCAACAATATTTTTTGACCCTTTACAAAATTTCTGATTCAGATTAATAAACAGCTTACTACATCATTGGGTAAAACATCTCTAAATTCTAACGCATTACTTTAGTTTTTAATGTTTCCATTATTTTGGGTTACCATGCATTTCCTTGAAGTATTCATTACTTTTGCAACTCATATTATAGTCTAGTGTGATTAAATGGCTCTCTGATAAACACTGAATCCAGATGATAATGAACTATCAAGAGATACTGAAGTTTTCTTGCTAAACTTAGATATGTATGTTCAAATTGCCTTCATCCTCCACAGTTCTTATACTTGTTGCATTCTAAAGTAAAGTATAATATGTATTTATGTATAATTTTTTTCCCTCTATATGAAGATAATATTTTATAGTAGGTATGTATAACTCAAAAAGAATATTTCTTTTTTTTAAAGGCACTTCCGTTTCAAAAACTTTTAGAAAATCCACGTCTTTCTCTGATACAATAAAATGAATATTTGCTGCAGTTCAAGATATTTATTTAATTGATATACTGCCATAGTTTGAACTAGTTTGAAGAATTTCAGATTCTTGGACAATTGGTGCTAATAACCATTGAGTAGGTATCAATTAATTTTTCACTTATTGTATCTTCAGTATATCTGTTCTGTGATAATGCAATAGAGACACATTATTATTTGTTTTACCTATTTAAAAATAGTTTCTTATTAATTTTAGTAAGTGTAGAACATCTGCAAATATATATATTTTATTTTTTTGTTTCAGGATGATTAAATTAAGTTTCATTGATTGATATCCTTAGTGTATTCCATAAACTCGCATTTGTTGGACTCATATTGCTTATTATTGAAACAACATTGTAAGCACTCTCATCTAGTGCAGTAATAATATTCAATAAAATATCCTTTGTCATTCTCATAGGCAGCATACAGGGCTATTGTTCATGGTTCTAGACGTGTCTATACACTAACTGGACATCTTTAACAGATTTTTTCATGCTATTTCATTGAAATACATAGAAAATATAAAAATTTTATATTTTGTAAAATTGTGTTAACTATTTATTTTTAAAATTTTATTTTAAAATCACTATAGGTAGGTATTCATAATAAAATATCAAAATCACTTAAAACTATTTACTTGAGATATAAAACTTTAGTAAATTTTAAATAAATTGAAATAATAATATAAAAATGTATGGAAGAAAACGACAGATTTAAATAATTGTAATACTTAATCCTTAATATTTTTGTTTTTTTTACATTTATTAATAATTGAATGCTTATTTCAATTTATATTTTCTGATGAAGACAGGAAGGCATTTAAACACTTTGTTGATTGATATTCCCCCACAATTGACAAACACAATATTATTGCTTAATTCTAGATATGGAAATTGAAGTTGACAATGAAGTTTGTATATTATATACAATGTTTTTAATTATTATAATTTAAGGCAATTTCTTAGGGGGTGAAGAGAGTAAAGCTTCCCTCTAGTTGGTGATTACTGGATAAAATCATACACCCCTCAAGACAAAAATCTAAGTACGTTCCTGTACTTGATGGTCCTTTAACCGTAACCGTAGATAATAATCTACAATCAAATTATTGAGATAACAGGGGTTAAAGCATTTATGGTCTGTTATCGTATTCATATTGTATAATATATGATTTAAGTGTAACTTTATAATAACTGACTTGGAGTAGTACTATACATTGACCACATTCTGTACAGTGTTATCTAAATAATAGTTTAATATTTCAACGTTAAAATATAATACTAAAAGTACTAAATAATTTAACTAAATTTGGAGTAAGTATGTACCTGAGGGAGAGTCTGAGAATTCGGACCCTCCCTGGAAAACTTTTCAGAGGTATTTTTTTTTTGTAGAACAATATGCATTATGTGTTCAATTATAATATCAAGTAGCATTAGACATGCGTTATAAAAAAAAATTCCTCTTAATTATTAGGTTACGTTTTGGTAAGTACAATAAGTAAATAGTTATTGATATATTTCAAAATAATTATTCTTGTACAATGTGAACAAATTATTTGTATATATAGAGGTTAATTAAATATTTAGGAATATCCATGACCATCTATTCTAATCTAATATATAATTGGATATCTCTACTACAACAGATAAATATCAACTACGGTAGGTACCTATATTCGGGAGCGGACTAGCTAGAGTGCTGAAGATGATACAGCATCTCATATTCCCATGCCCCAATCAGTATGAATTCACCTTAATTATTCAAGTTAAAATTAATATGAATTTTCAATAAGCAAGTTATAATAATTCTCTGTAATTCTCTGATTATATAATAATTTAGATCTATAGGTAATAAATAGATTATAAATAATTTGCTTACAACAATTCAATATAGGTGATTTCATTGATTTTGCATCACATATTGTAAATCATATTTGTGATATTAAGAAGTAGGTACCTATTTAATATTATATTCTAGAATCTAGGATTTTGTTACCCGTGAGTAGTGTGACTATGCTCCGTTACATAATTTTAGGAGTCGGATGTGTCCTAGGATTTTGGTATTATGGGTATGATAATCTTGGGCTAATCGTACTGCGGGAGGTATGAGAATCTGGGGGGGTAGGCACGTTTCGCCGCCTGTTACATCGGTTGAAATTTTATTTTAATATTAACAGAGATATTACGAGTATTGGGGAAAACAGTGGGACACTTTGCATATCAACTGTTAAAATAAAAAGTTCCACGGGGGGGTCCCGTGCCTCCTCCCCCTGGCTACAGCGCGGCACTGCGGTTAGCACAACGGGATTTTCTCAGTAGCCAACCCGGTTTCGCCAGGACGTAACGGTCGTATGTAGAACGCGTTTACTGGCGGATTGGTTCGATGTAGACAGCTTTGGAGCTTCGAAGCTCCGTGATTCCGCGACACTCGCTCACTTTTCGCCGGGCTTCGGTGGCGAGTGACGAGCGCTAAGGCTGTCCGCGTATCGTGTAATATTGTGTTGTGCAGTGTTTCTTTACCCCGCGGTATCGTAATGTTTTCCGTTTTTCTGCGGCCAATGTTTTATAAAATTAAAAAGTATCGTCGCTAATATTATTGCGTTGTTGCACTGGTGTTCTTCGTCATGACTCAAGACCGAAAAGTTTCGGTGTCAAATACACAACGCCATTAGATCCTGTGACGGTGAGTTCTCGAATTTTGTATCTACATCACACCCTCTACTCTGGTATTCCAGGATAGGAAATACATGAATTTCAAAAAAAACGATTTCGCCAAAAATTTAAAACTAAAATTGTTTTATGTTTGACCGTGATACCGATAGCCGCAGTTGAATATTTTCCGTGGGGGGGAGGGGGTCCATAATAATGCTTCAAAAGTCATAAACGATTTGCTACGAAGGTATAAGGAAAGAGAATATTAATTTATACAGGGTGACTTT